AAGAATGTCCCCAAGTTGGCCTCCTATCACAGCCCCTGCTTTATTTAATTCTTTGACCCAGATTGTGGTGGTCCTCATGAAGTTTACCCCGTTTGGTCCAGTTTTGGAAATTGGAGCTATTGCTCATAAACTGGGAATTGACAAGGTGGTCCTGGATCTCAGGACAGGCTATACCCTAGCCCATATTGCACCTATGCCTGGCTTTCTCTTCCATAATTCCAAGGCAGGAGATGTAAGCCTGCTGGTGAGTAAATTTACAATCTAGTAACAGAATGAATATGGTCCTTTTCCTACAGATACAAGTATGTGTTGGAAATGATAATTCTGTAATCATTAAAATAAACATTATAGCTGGTATTTGGTGTCACAGGATTATCTAAATATGGATTATTTTAGAATTTCTGGAGATGGTTGAGGAGACTTGGATATACTTAAGACTGTACAGACATCTATAGATATGCAACAATATCTATATTTCACATGCATTTTTCATGATATACTGAATTAAAACAAATTTGCTCCCTTTCCACATTACCAGTCTCTACGGTTGAGAGAGAAATAAAACATGCCTTGACAAAAGAAAGTGATTATTCTGGAAACTTTGTTCCCTGGCCCTGGGGCAGGAGGTATCCTCGGGCCCACTGTGAAGGAAAGGAAGTCTCACTTCGTGACTTTTGATTTTGCCATATTTGTGGTAATTGTCTTTTAACTCTCATGATAAAACTGTCAACCTTGGTCAACACCACTTACCCCAAGACATGTGGGAATCTCAAACAGAGAACGGGGCCTGCTTTGAACTAGATTCTGCAGATTTTCATAACTTTATTCATAATGGGTAGCATCTTCACTGCAGTCCTGACATTTTCAGTAACACAGGGGAGCAGACAAAGGTCCTAATCAGTGTTTCACACAGTCCGTAGGGATCCCCACTCACACCTCTTTATTTAGAGATGTATTTTATTTTATGGAATGCTAATCTTTCAAAAAATTTATTTATTTTTAATTAGAGGATAATTGTTTTACAATGTTGTATTGGTTTCTGCCATACATCAGTATGAATCAGCCACAGGTATACATGTTTATGTCCCCTCCCTCTTAACTCTTCCTCTCACCTATCTCATCCCACTGCTGTAGCTTGTCACAGAACACCAGGTTGAGCTAATCTAATCAAATTGCTCTTTTGAGTGGATGGATTCATACATCTTTCAGGACAAGAATGAAGGTCTTGTTCTATTAGTTGGTCTTGTTCTATCTATTTTCAACTGCCACCTTACCTATAGCTTAAAGTATATTCAGGTCACTTTCAGCTTAAAAAGGAGAAAAAAGGAAAATGAGAAATTCCCTTTCTTGACCCTGCATCTCATTCTTCCCATTTCATTATTTTGTTCCTTCCCAGCATAGCTGAGCCCCTAAAAATGTCAGATTACACTTTGGTCTTCATTTTTGTCTCACTCACTTTTCATTTACTCTTTAATATATTTTTAAAATGGTATCAGAAATATATTATCATTGATACATTTTGGTATACACAGAAGAGTATAAAGAAACAAACAAGAATGTCCTATACTTCTCCATCATAAGTAATCACATTTACTATTTAAAAATATTTCTTTTTAGTCTTTTTGTGGTCCTCTTCCAGAAGTCATCCTCTTCAGGAAGGCTTTGTAATTAGTCCTTATATACTTTGAATTGGCTTGACCCAGCACATGTTTTATTCATATATGTATATATGTATATACTTGGCTTGGCCTAGCACACATCTTACCTATATATATATATACACTGAACCCATCTAGTTTCCTCTCCACATCCTCCACCAGTTTGTACACTTGCTTGGGGGAGAAGCACTGTCTACCTCATCTCTGTATCCCCAGCATTTAACACAATGCCTGAAACATAAATGCCTAAAATTTGAAAGTGTCAGGGATATGCCTATGTTTAAAACAAGTTGAAAACCTTGTTTATTATGATGTTCCAAGGCATGAAGAATAAATAGTTTCATCTTGAGGACCAATTCTGACCCATTTGTGATGGCTTTCTATGAGAGCTGTGTTGAGAGCCACTCGTACTATTCTCTGAGAGTGATCAGCAGTCTCTAAGCCTGGGGAGATGTAGGTCTCAACTAGTACCAAAGTATATCTGAACATTACTTTTAAAGACACGCAACTTTATTACTTTTGAGTGGCTGCTGTCACTAGCTAGGCCAGTATAGGACTTGCAACGACTAGATGAATTCTTTGCATTTAGCATCAAGTAGGATAGAACTTTGGAGAAGGCAATGGCACCCCACTCCAGTACTCTTGCCTGGAAAATCCCAGGGATGGAGGAGCCTGGTAGGCTGCAGTCCATGGGGTCGCTAGGAGTTGGACATGACTGAGTGACTTCACTTTCACTTTTCACTTTCATGCATTGGAGAAGGAAATGGCAACCCACTCCAGTACTCTTGCCTGGAGAATCCTAGGGACAGGGGAGCCGGGTGGTCTGCCGTCTATGGGGTTACACAAAGTCGGACACGACTGAAGCGACTTAGCAGCAGTAGCAGCAGGATAGATCTTTGCATAGATGGCAACTGGATTGCATTGAAGTAGGTGTTCATGAGTTTTCTCCAGTATATGAGAACTCCCTTGAGAATCATGTTTACTATCATTGCACAGATTTTCCTTTTGTACATAGTGGAATGGCTTCCCAGGTGACTCAGTGGTAAAGAACACTCCTGCCAACACAGGAGCCTTGAGTTCGATCTCTGGGTAGGGAAGATCCCATAGAAGAGGAAATGGCAACCCACTCCAGTTTTCTTGCCTGGAAAATCCCATGGACAGAGGAGACTGATGGACTACAGACCATGGGGGTCGAAAAGCACTGGACACGACTGAGCATGCATGCACATAATGGAAAGGACAATGCTAGCCCAGTTCCTTTTAGAACTGTAGTACATTTTAAATAAATAAAGTTTAAATTAATGGGGTATATTGTATGTGATTTATTTATAGATTTTTGTGTCCTTCTGATTTGTTGAACAGCTATCGTTGTGCTTGATGTTTATTTTCTTTGTGAATGCTGGTGTGTTGCCTGTTTTGGAGTAAAACCCACAAGAGGTTTTAACTTTAACTCCATCCACTGTCATTGAAGACAACTGAGACCAGTGGTTAAACATTGGGCTCTGGGGTAAAGCTACTGCATGTGAAATTACACTGAATCGTGTACCACTTTGGGCAAGTTTTTTTAAACCTCTTTATATCACATTTTCATCTGTTAAAAAAAAAAAAGAGCTAATAAGGATGACTAAGTGAGATTAAAACTATAAGGTGCTTTTTTTCCTCTAAAAAAATCACAGTGCTTGTCATTTAGTAAATGATAGCTCTATTTGTGGTAGTAGCATTGGATCAACTCTTTATGAAGATGTGCATATAAATACGTGGTAAGTATTTATGATTATTATGAAAAAGTAATAACATAGTGATTCTCAACCAGCACTTGTTAAGCATTTATGATTATCACAAAATAGTAGTAAAATAGTAATTCTCAGTCAGGGTTGATTTTGCCTGCCAGGGAACCTCTAGCAATGTGGAGAAATTTTTGTTGTCATAATTGGTGATTTCCTTATGGAATCTACTAGAAAAGACTCTGGAAGTGTTAGTTGCTCAGTCATGTCTGATGATTTGTGACCCCATGGGCTGTAGTCCAGCAGGCTGCTGTGTCCATGGGATTTCACAGGCAAGAATACTGAAATGGGTAACTATTCCCTTCTTTAGGGGTTCTTCCTGACCCAGGGATCAAACCCAGGTCTCCTGTATTGCAGGCAGATTCTTTAAGGTCTGAGATTCCAGAGGTGCTGCTAAATATCCTACAATGTATAGGAGAGCCCCCCAAACAAGGAATTACGTCAAAAGTGAAGGTGAGTAACCAGGGGCATTATAGGAATTCTGGAATATACAAATGTATCTAAAACTGAGGTGTTTTATTTCTTCTTCCTGTAGAACCAAGGGCTTCTCATGTGGCACTAGCGGTGAAGAACCTGCCTGTCAATGCAGATGTAAGAGATGCAGGTTTCATCCCTGGATTGGAAGGATTCTCTGGAGGAGGGCATGGCAACTCTCCTGTTTTTGCCTGGAGAATACCATCGAGAGAAACCTGGCAGGCTATAGTCCATAGGATAGAAAATAGTCAGGTACAACAGAAGCAACTTAGCACTCATGCAATAGCACCAAAGAAGAGAGAAGTTCTTTGTTTATATGCCTGTTTTTTTCCCTTTTACTGGTGCTGATTCACAGAACAAATAGGGTTATGTTTCTTAAAGTGTGATCCAAACCTCCCTGCTCAGAAGCACCAAACATTCCAGCATCAGGAGATTTCCTGTGTTCTGTGTGAAATGGACTGTCAGCACCTTTGTGCTTAGTCATTCAGTCGTGTCCAACTCTTTGCGACCTCATGGACTATAGCCTGCCAGGCTTCTCTGTTTGTAGGGATTCTCCAGGCAAGAACACTGGAGTGGGTTGCCATGCCCTCCTCCAGGGGATCTTCCCAACCCAGGGATCGAACCCAGGTCTCCCGCATTGCAGACAGATTCTTTACCGTCTGAATCTGCAGCATGCCAGACCTCTCTGCCCCTCACCATCTCCCGGAATTTATCCAAGCTCATGTCCATTGAATTGGTGATGCCCTCCAGCCAGTACAGAAACGATGTCAAAGGTAACAGGTAGAGCTATGATCTGTGTGGCCTTATTTTTTGTGTCAGGAAGTCTGTAAACCTACGTTAGAATGTACAGATTCCTACAGGTCTTTAGTTTGACATTTTCTTTTATTTTTGCTCTGAAAAGGTAAAACATTCTGCACCTGAAGATACTAGTTCCACTTTCAATAAGGAACCTGCTGTTTGAGCCATTGGTAAAGTTATTAGAATGGAACAGCTGGGGACAAAGGCAAGCTGATTCTATATTTAGAATGTTCTATGAGGCTAAGTCTATGACAAATTTATTCTTGTTCCTTTTAGAATTGCCTGGATTTGTAAAGCAGAGAGCGGTTGACTATATTCCAGCCCTTCAAGGGAGGTAAAATTTAGCGTTATTTATGTGTCCCTTAGGAAGGATGATATATCTAAAAGCACATTTCTCTTCCTTCTTCATATATCAATTCTTTAGTTAAAATAACATCACCTTTTGGTTCTTATTTTATGAGTTTGTACACCTTTCCAAGTGCTAGTGTAAAGTCTACTGATGCTAATTATGAATAGGAATTACATGTTCTGAGAGAATAGTGGGAGGGGAGAGCAAATTAATTCAATCCTAATTTGCATTCCTCTGCCAAGTTTGAATTGGGACCAATTTGTAAACTGAATTATCTCTCTGGCCTTGATAGAGTTTATAATAATGCTGAAAGTTTCTTAACTCATGGCAGTGCCTTTTTAATAAAGACACATTCACAGCTGCAGTCTTGGTGCCTTGTAACATACTGCTAATAATTGGCCTAATAAGATTTTAAAGTTAATTAAAAGGAGGGGAAAACCCATAAAATCTGATGCAGCTCAGAGTGGTTGGTTTGTAATAGGCTTGACCAAGCAACACTGCAAACAGAGAAGAGGATAAAACTTGTTCATTAGTGATTTATCAATGATGCTCCTTTTCTTTTTCTTGGATAAAACATTACCACTTTGGCATTTCTCTTAACACAATTGATAAATGCTTAACAAGGATTGTTCAGTGCCCATTATCTCATTTTTTTTTTTTTACAGATTTTCCCAAAACAGCCAAGGAGGTTTTGCTTAGGTAACTCGTCATTTTGTAAAACTGATGGCCTATAGAGTCTGACGCATATCCAATATTGCGTCATGGGCCGGAGGGAACTTGCAAGCTCTAGCTTGGCTCTCATGGTCCAGTTGCAATGCCCACAGCACTTCTTAACACCAGGGTTCTAGTGCCAATGTGGTGAACATTAATGATTCCATTTGATTTTTCAAAGGCCTTTCAAGCTTCTCCACTGCAAGCTTACCTTCTTGCATTCTGTGTGTCCTTTTTCAAAGAACACTTCTTCCTGCTTCTCTGCACCAAGTACTAACCTGGGTTCCTCTGACGTGCTAGGGTGCTGGTGATCCACAGCTTAAAATTTGCTGCTCTTATTCAGTTGCTCAGTCACATCTGACTCTTTTCAATCCCATGGACTGCAGCACACCAGGCTTTCCTGTGCTTCACCATCTCCCAGATTTTGCTTAAACTCATGTCCATTGAGTCATTGATACCCATCCAACCATCTCATCTTCTGTCATTCCCTTCTCCTCCTGCCCTCAATCTTTCTCAGCATCAGGGTCTTTTCCAATGATTCAGCTCTTCGCATCAGGTGGTCAAGGTATTGGCCACCTAAAATTAGTGGTTGCCATGTATGCTGATTTCAAAATGGCGTCCAGATGTAGGATAACAGAAGGGACTGATCCTTACCATAGTGCTATCTGTCCGGCTCTAGATGGAAAAATTCTACTGCCTCTGCTTGCTTCTTGAGCTGATGTGAATGGCTGCTGGTCTTAGTCCTTCAGAATATTGTTTTCTGACCCAGAACAGACCATTATATGATTTGGAACGCAGAAGTGTTTTTTTTTTTTTTGGATTAAATTTTTTTTTTCCATTTATTTTTATTAGTTGGAGGCTAATTACTTTACATCATTACAGTAGTTTTTGTCATACATTGAAATGAATTAGCCATGGATTTACATGTATTCCCCATCCCGGTCCCCCCTCCCACCTCCCTCTCCACCCGATCCCTCTGGGTCTTCCCAGTGCACCAGGCCCGAGCACTTGTCTCATGCACCCAACCTGGGCTGGTGATCTGTTTCACCCTAGATAATATACATGTTTCAATGCTGTTCTCTTGAAACATCCCACCCTCGCCTTCTCCCAGAGTCCACAAGTCTGTTCTATACATCTGAGTCTCTTTTTCTGTTTTGCATATAGGGTTATCGTTACCATCTTTCTAAATTCCATATATATGTGTTAGTATACTGTAATGGTCTTTATCTTTCTGGCTTACTTCACTCTGTATAATGGGCTCCAGTTTCATCCATCTCATTAGAACTGATTCAAATGAATTCTTTTTAATGGCTGAGTAATATTCCATGGTGTATATGTACCACAGCTTCCTCATCCATTCGTCTGCTGATGGGCATCTAGGTTGCTTCCATGTCCTGGCTATTATAAACAGTGCTGCGATGAACATTGGGGTGCACGTGTCTCTTTCAGATCTGGTTTCCTCGGTGTGTATGCCCAGAAGTGGGATTGCTGGGTCATATGGCAGTTCTATTTCCAGTTTTTTAAGAAATCTCCACACTGTTCTCCATAGTGGCTGTACTAGTTTGCATTCCCACCAACAGTGTAAGAGGGTTCCCTTTTCTCCACACCCTCTCCAGCATTTATTGCTTGTAGACTTTTGGATAGCAGCCATCCTGACTGGCGTGTAATGGTACCTCATTGTGGTTTTGATTTGCATTTCTCTGATAATGAGTGATGTTGAGCATCTTTTCATGTGTTTGTTAGCCATCTGTATGTCTTCCTTGGAGAAATGTCTGTTTAGTTCTTTGGCCCATTTTTTGATTGGGTCATTTATTTTTCTGGAGTTGAGCTGGAGGAGTTGCTTGTATATTTTTGAGATTAATCCTTTGTCTGTTGCTTCGTTTGCTATTATTTTCTCCCAATCTGAGGGCTGTCTTTTCACCTTGCTTATAGTTTCCTTTGTTGTGCAAAAGCTTTTAAGTTTCATTAGGTCCCATTTGTTTATTTTTGCTTTTGTTTCTAAAATTCTGGGATGTGGGTCATAGAGGATCCTGCTGTGATTTATGTCGGAGAGTGTTTTGCCTATGTTCTCCTCTAGGAGTTTTATAGTTTCTGGTCTTACATTTAGATCTTTAATCCATTTTGAGTTTATTTTTGTGTATGGTGTTAGAAAGTGTTCTAGTTTCATTCTTTTACAGGTGGTTGACCAGTTTTCCCAGCACCACTTGTTAAAGAGGTTGTCTTTTTTCCATTGTATATCCTTGCCTCCTTTGTCGAAGATAAGGTGACCATAGGTTCGTGGATTTATCTCTGGGCTTTCTATTCTGTTCCATTGATCTATATTTCTGTCTTTGTGCCAGTACCATACTGTCTTGATGACTGTAACTTTGTAGTATAGTCTGAAGTCAGGCAGGTTGATTCCTCCAGTTCCATTCTTCTTTCTCAAGATTGCTTTGGCTATTTGAGGTTTTTTTTTTTTGTATTTCCATACAAATTGTGAAATTATTTGTTCTAGTTCTGTGAAAAGTACTGTTGTTAACTTGGTAGGAATTGCATTAATCTATAGATTGCTTTGGGTAGTTTACTTATTTTCATTATGCTGATTCTTCTGATCTGCCTGCAATCAAGAGACATGGGTTCAATGCCTGGGTCAGGAAGATCCCCTGGAGAAGGGAATGGCAACACAGTCCAGTATTCTTGCCTGGAGAATTCCATGGACAGAGGAGCCTGACAGGCTACAGTCTATGGGATTGCAAAGAGTTGGACACAACTGAGGGACTAATGTCATTTCTTTTTCCCTCCCGTAAGTCACTTCAGTTGGACTGTTTGAGACCCTATAGACGGTAGCTCACGAGAATCCATGGGGTTTCTCCAGGCAAGAATAGAGGAGTGGGTTGCCATTTCCTGCTCCAGGGGATCTTCCTAACCCAGGATTGAACCACATCTCTTCATTGGCAGGTGGGTTCTTTGCCAGTAGTGCCACCTGGGAAGCTCATTTGCATGATAATCCATACCTAATTCTTATTTATCATGTCCATATTCTATTTTATAGTATCATATTTTGATTTGGGCAGTTTTTGCTGTCATTCGAGGGACACATCAGTCATGGCAGAGGCAAATTAGTTGTCTCTCAAGGTCCATTCTTTTCTTCTATAGAAATATTTCTGATGCAACTTTTAACTTTTAGGTTGGCTTACAGTTACTTGGTATAAAGCTCCCAACAGCTAAGGATTGTGATGGGATTAAGTTCTAGCTAAAATAATATAAGTTAAACCAGGCTATTCAACTTCTAGAAAGTGTCTTTAAAAAGGAGCAAGCAACATTTCTTTCTTCTCTTATTTTCTTCCTGCCTGCTAGAATGTGGATGTAGAAGTTGGGGTTGGAACAACCATCATAGAGGTAATCTAGGGAATCAAACCATGAACTAAGGAGCAATAAGAGAGAATAAACTTGGGTTCTTGGCACTGTTGTATGTACTAGCCCTGCACCACGCAATGCCAACTTTTTTGAGAAAAAGACATAAATATTATATTGTTTATTTTGGCTTTTCTGTTACTGCCAGTCAAACTGAATACTAAATAATTCATCAGGATTTCCCAATTCTCAAAAACTCCTTTGCAAACCTGCTCTTTAATGTTTGGAATTCTTTCAAAAGATCGAAACCCCATCATTTCACTGTTTTTTTAAAGAATTAATGAACTCCAGGCTCGGAGGTATTAAAATGCATTGATTTAATTATTCTCTAAAGAGTGATTGACTAATACAGATCTATTTCAGAGACCATGGTCAATATAGGGCTTCCCATATGGAAACCTTCTTTCTTAAGCTTAGTGTTAGAAAGAAAATGAATCAGAAATTTGTCTAGTTCTAGCTAGTTCTGTTTTACAGGACATTAGATTGATCTCTTTATATGAAGGAGAGAGAAGACAGGGCAAAAGTGTTGAAATCTTTTTCAAGTTTGGTCAAATAACATGAGTTCTACCTCTGATCAACAGATTTCAGGTAGTTATTGAGTATTATTTTTTAGTATCTCTTAGTCAATATTCCATACAATTAGACAGAGATTTGTGTAACTGAAACAAAAATTGAACAGGCTTAATTGACCTGTTTTCAAAGAAGCAAAAAACTAGTCAAGGAATGTCTTAGTTTTAGGTTCTTCAAGTAGCAGGCCCTGAAATAAGGACTTAGATACTAGTAGTTTGTGAAATAATGCTAGGAAGCATGGGAAAGAATGCAAGGAAAGTTACCAAACAGGTCAATGTCCTGGGTAACTGGGGCACAATCATATTTCACAT